GTCTATAATAATATGTCCTAGTAGATCAATCATTATATAGTCATTAAAGTTATAAACTGAATTGTTCCAATTAATATCTATTCTTTCAGTAGCAATACCTTGAATTCTAGAGCTTGAAGGTAAGTTAATAAGCTTTCTTCATAGTCTAGTATCAATGTATTTGAAATCAAGCATGAATATATTTTATCCTATGATAATTTCTAGATTTATTTCTTTGATAAGAACTCAATATCAACAGACTTAGCCTCACTCCTTACAAATCTCTTATTAACAAAAAAATGTATAAATACATTGGTACCATACTCTTGGTGATTGTTTCAATCCATATAAGGATTTCTTCAACTTGCATATAAGGTGTTCTTTGCCTTATTGTGCAAATCCTTGAGGTTGATCTATGTAGATGTCTTTTTATAATTTTTGATTCAAAAAGGCCGTCATCACATCCATTTGGTGTATTTCCAAATCTATTATTGCCTTAATTGCTACAATGGTCCTAATAATAATGAATTTGGCAATGTGTGCATAAGTCTCATTGAAGTCAATTCCAGTAACTTGTAAATATCTTTTGGCAACTAATCTTGTTTTGTGCCTCACCACTATAGCCATTGCATCTCTTTTAGTCTTAAATACCCACTTACAACTAATGCTAGATCGATTTGCTTGAAGAGGTGCCAATTCCTATGCACCATTGTTCATATGAGATTGGTACTCTTTTTTCATAGCCTTTTTCTACTTCATTGTATCTTAGAACTTTAAAGCATCACACAAAGACAATGGATCAACAAAAAAAGCAACATTTGTATATTCTTCACTTACTTCAAGAAAGATATGGTTCTTCCACCATTTGCCACAAGGTCTTTTTTTTCTCAAGGGATATCTTCTTTCATTTGAAGAAGATTCAACTTGTTGCACTCCAAATTCACTTTTAAGCTTCTTTTTTCTTAAAGCTTGACTATTTTTATTTAAAGGTTGATACTCTTCATCATCATCATTATCATCATAATCTTTAACATCTTCATTGTTGGTCATTGGAATTTGCAAGGCCTTTTTTTCATCTTCTTTGCCTCTTTATTTTCATTCACGTTTTTATCATCTTCATCTTCTTCATCTTCTTCTTTTGTTGCTGAAATTGGAGATTTATCCACAAACACATTATTATTCCCACTTAGACACATTTTCAAGTACTCACAAGCACTTTTATATTCTAAAAATTCAATCTTATGATTTTTTGATGATCTTTTTGGTGTCTAAACACATTAACCTATATGTCTTGGTACCTTCACAATATCCTAAAAAAAAAAAACTTTATACCTTTTGCATCAAATTTGGACATCATACAATCTAGTAACTTTGCATATGCAATGCATCCAAAGGTCTTAATATGTGAAATGCAAGGTTGTCTTCCATTCCAAGCTTCTTGTCGTGTCATTGATGTAAGAACACTTATTTGAAACCTATTCTTTATATATATTGTATTTACCACAATTTTTGCTTAAAATTCATAATTAAGATTTTGAGCATAAAACATGCTTCTTGCCATCTTTATAATGGTTCAATTTGCCCTTTTAGCAACACCATTTTGTTGTAGAATATATGGAGTTGTTGTTTGTTTAGCAATTCCTTCATTCTTCAAATAAACATCAAATTGCTTAGACATGTACTCACCCCCATTGTCCCTACATAATACTTTTATCTTGTACTCACTTTGTTTTTCAACAAGTGCATTAAATTCTTTAAACTTTGAAAAGCACTCATTCTTTGCTTTAAGAATATAAATCCAAATTTTTCTTAAGAAATCATTAATAAAAATGAAGAAATACCTTATTTGTTTAATACTTGTATTCTTTATATGTCCTTATATATTAGAATGGACAATCTCCAATAACTTTGTAGTAAGTATTGCTATGCCACTTGGAAATGAGATCCTTTGTTGTTTGCCTTATATGCATCCTTCACATGCAAGTTGTATTGCATTTTGGCTTGTTTTGCTAAGATCTAAACTACTTATCATAGACTTAAGCTTTGCCATCCTCTTCATGTTCAAATGGCCAAGGCAAAAATGCCATATATTCAATTTGTCTTAGTTTTAAATCAAGTCAAATATTTTTGAATATGATCCTTTTGATTTTTCCGTACACAATAACCTCTACTATAATAGAATCAATTTCAATGGCTTCATATGTGCCATTATTTGCCAAAATTATATTTGATGCTAAAATAGCCTTATAAGTGTCAAATGAATACTTATTAGGTGTCATATGCTTGGAACAACATGAATCTATAATCCATTTTGATATGATAGCCATAGAGATTTTGTTTGTTGCCATGAATACATAATCTTCTCCTTCAAATTCATCTTATACACTATTTGCATTATCTTTTTTCTATTTTTTTGCCTGTGTAGCAATTTCGAGTAAAATATCTTTCTTTGCCACAAATGAAGCAAGTTTTGATATTACTTCATTAATTTGAATAGTTGCCCTTACCTTGTAGTGAATAGAGTGTTGAATCTTCACTTTGAGATTTTTTTTTTTTTATTCTTGGTTACTTCATGGCTAAGTCTTGTTGTCACATAGTCCATTATAAGTTCTTTCATCTTGATGGATTCCAAAGCTACAATGAAGTAGTTATAGAATTCTGGCAAGCTCATGAATAGAATCATGACAACATCTATTTTTTTCCAGGTCTTGTTAACAATTGCAAGCTGATTTACAAGTGCCTTCACCTTGTTGATGTAAACCATGAGGTCTTCACCTTCTTCTATCTTAAATGTGAAGAACTTCCTCCTTGTGTAGATGATGTTAGCTAAGTTCTTGCTCTTATAGATATTATAAAGAGTCTTCCATGCTTCTCCTAGTCCTTTACAAGAGATAATATGAGAGAAGTTGGTTTTATCCATATTATATGTAATCAATCCAAAGACCTTCTTTCTACAATATTTGTAGTCTTTTTTTTTCCTTTGTATCAACATGCATGCTTGGAAGCTCTTCACTTTCATCTACAATATTCCATAGGTCCAAAGAAGCCAATAAAAGCTCCATTTTTACCTTCCAATGGTAAAAATTCTCACCTCTAAACTTTTCAATTGCTCTCAAGCCTTCATCCTTATTTGAAGCTATGTTTAAAGAAGAGATGTATAAAAAAAGATCAAGTGAAATAGTCCTAAAGCTCTCAAAATCAGCAAGAAGGAGTTACTATATTAAAATCTTAGAATGCCTCTTTGTGAATAAACTAGTATTTTTACTCTCAAAACACTTTAAACTTCACTTTTAGGACCCCTTACAAGTTCAATGATCAATATAAACATATCAAATTAGATTTGCCAATCTTCTATTACTTTTATGCTCACAAATCATGTCTAGACACCATAAGAGATCTTTTAAGTACCTTAAAGTCTTTTAATACATGAAACTATAAAGTTAGTCTATTAAGGATCTTAATCAATAAGAAAAAATAATTCTAATGTTCTTTAACAACACCATAAGGTGCAAATCAAACTTTGAATCAAAGATATACTTAACAACAGGTAAGAGCAAATAAAGATCTAAATCTAGATTTGAATCTAAAAGTTAGGAGTTTCAAAATTATAACATCAACAATAATAATATTATCTACTCTAAACAACAACAAAGACTTCATAAAACTTCAAAGAAACTCACAAAGGAATGTGAGTGGACCCATAATCTATTGAAGAGAGAGAATTTAGAGGCTACAACACTTAGCATCAACAAGATTGTACACAAAATGAAGTGAGGAATAAGATGACTCTCACTTCCAACACTCTTTATTTATAGCTAGAGTTTACATTGATTGTAGATGAACTTAATCATTTTCATCTTTCTTTCTTATATCCAATTAAATCCTAGATTCCTCTTATCTCAGCCGCCATCATAGTAACATCTTTTAATCTTTTGTTATCTTTTGACTATTAGAAACTTATTATAGTTTTAACTCTATATAGTGGCAACTATATAAGATCTTACTAATTTTCAACAATAAGTTTGTAACTTAAATTATTTTTCCAATTTCCACTGTTTAATACAAATTTTATCTTATATTTTTTTATCAAGAGTTCTATTGCAAATATTTCTAGTTCTATTTTAATTAGAGCTTATACTTCTAAAAAAATTAAAAATATTAATGATAAGATTAAATAAAAATTTACAACATCAAATAATTCAAGTTTACTATGTATAAGATATATCTCTCTTTGATATACCTTTTTTATATACTTTTATATAAATTTGATTTAATAATATAATTATTTTTCATAGAAAAAAAATAATAGAATTTGATTGATCTCTCTCTATATATAAAAAACTCAAAACCAAAATATTTTGTGCATTACTAAAGTTTTAAGACTATCATATTAAAGTTGAACTATTTTTTTGTCATAAAAATAAAATCCCATTAATTTAAACTATTTTTTTATTGATATAAATATTTTATATAATTATATATATATATATATATATATTTTTATCATTATTTTGTATATGAATATAATGTAAAATTCTTAAAAGTATTTCTAATTTTTTTTAATTTGGTTCTATGCAATATATATTTTTTATAATATATTTAATGAGTTGCAAGAATTCTTCCTGGAAACAAGAGTATCATGCACATTGAGTGCTGTTGTGTATGATAACAGAAAAGGAAAAAAAAAAGAAAAAAAATTGTTTGAAGCAAGAGTGATGGTTGAAAAGTGGGATTGAGAGGCAGCCCCTGAACAACATTCGGCACCCATGTATGAATGTGGATCAGTGCGGGCTCGACGAGGAATGGGTTCTGAGTTCCCAACTTACCGCCCTTCAAACTGCCCGGCCTCCGTGGTTCCCCTCCGTTCCCTCCATTCGTTCCCAGTAATCCAATCTACGGTCGATATCGCATCTGACTGCAGCTGCGATCTGACGGCCCACGATGGCGGAGCCAGTCGATTGAATAAGGAGGTTTCTGCGACACGATTCTACGAGGGCCACGGGGGCTGTCTGTCTGCTTTGCTGCCGATGCTTCTTTTCATGGCCCCATCCTCCGCGCACAGACTCCCCCTTCCGTCACAGCTGCTTACAAGTTGTTGGTGTCCACGTAGGGGCGCCTCAGCAAGCGTCTTCCTGTGCTGTCCCTCGTGTAGCTCCCGTCAAGTACCACACCTGTCTCTCCTGCCTCCATCGGAGACACCACTGACTTCTGCTGCGATACTAGCGGACATCCCATGCCGATGCAATCTCTGTGCCGGACGGTGACGAAGTTGAGCACCGAAAGTGGAGAGAGAGAGTGAGTGTGGAGGTGGTGTGTGCAGGATTCGGGGTGAGTTTTGGCAGCAGATAAACAGATGTATGGCGTTGCTTCAAATCATCATGTGTTGGGAACCAGGCAAGCGTTGCCGCTGGGTCGTACAGGGACGCCTCTGTACGAGCGTGTGACATCGCAGTTAGCTAGAGGTAGAGGGACAAAGCAAACGAGGACGCACCGATTGATTGCGGCTTTGAGTCCTGCCTTCCCGAATCAGCCAGATTTGTCTGCATTTCAGTGGCCCTCGACATCGGCATTGCGGGTAGGATCGCAAGGAGAACCAGAGAGACAAGTGAAGGCCGGGGCCAAGGAGAAGTGGCCCAAACACAATGAAAGTGCTTTGAGTAGTGACTCACCGCTGTCTCTGCCCTTGGCTTATCCAGGGACCGAACCCGCCACCCAGAAAGAGAGAGATGCAATGGTGAATTGTAACCCCGAAGTACAGGTTGGTTTCCTCTCTTTTGCTCTCCGGTTCCCTGCTGTCTGCAACTTTACGTTTCCTCTCACAATCATCGACCAGTTTCGATGCACCCCCACATGCATTAGCATGTCTTTGTCCCCCGACGGACAATTCGCAAGGCTTCCTCAGATTTTGGCATTTAGGTTTCTTGCTGGTCAACTTCGATTGAAGCCGAACTTGTGTTGAGATTTCAGGATTGTAAGAATCCCGTGTACCAATGGACGGCGAAGTGTTCAAGATGCCAAGGCACAGGGGAGGTGAGCTTTTACAGGAAACGGGGCAAAGAAGTAATAAGCAAGTGCATTGCTTGTTTAGGCATAGGTATCTCATTCTCACCATTCTCCTCCTTCTCCTGTGCGTCATCAATCCATGCTGGGGTGATTCCAATTGTGCTGCTGCTCACTTCTCTGTCTCTTGTCTGCGAACCGAGAGTTGTGGATTAGTAGAACTAGCCTTAGCCCTAAACTCCTTTGCGTGCAGTACTGCAAGCAGCATCAGGAAGGATTGAGTCTCTTGCTTACTGATGCAAGCATTGTTCAGACTAGTCGATCCTTACGTGTATGAAAAGAATAACTTTGAAAAGAATACCCTGCATACTCTGAAGTTTTATTTTCCTTTTCTGTTTCTACAATGAGTGAGGAAGACAAGGGCAGGGTGCAGTACCTGAAAGAAACTTTGTGCTGATTTTGCAGGTTATGTGGAGAAGATAACTTTGCGGGCGGATAAAGTAGACGAATCTGATTTGTCCAAGTGAGTGTCTGGCTCTGTCTTGGAGAGCAGCACTCATTTTCGAGAACACGATTTGGAATTCTTTTAGTATTTCGCTTTGGGTAATTCGCACAGGTGTACGGTGGCACAATTGAACCAGCAGCACCTTTGATGCAGGAAGATTTTTTTTCGAGGGCTCAGGAATGATATAACTGAAGCAAGTAATAGTCTTTCTAGTTGAAGTCTCTGACCTTTGATCTGTACTTTTTGTGGTGGAATCGAACGAGGAGAGTGCTGAGGCCTTGTTTTATAGCAGCTGAGGAGCAAACATTACGGGTAGTGGGATAATACCGTGAAATTTTATTGGCAACGAATGTTGCAAGTTTTGCTAGTTGTAGTTTTGGTGCCATGGACGATCATCAAGCACTACAATTGTCTTGGTACGTAAGTCTGCTGCCTATATCACTGATCTAGGAGGTCAGAACGCCTTTGCTTTAAACGAATAGTCGTAGCAGCGTTGTAAGCTTAGCCTAGACTTATCCTGTTAAGAAATAACGCTTGACGAAACTCTGGCACAAAGTTGTGAGGGCAAACTGAATCATAGGAATAGATCATGAAGACCTACATTGCCTTCTGTGTGGAAGCTTTTTGCTGCAAGAGCTCGGTTAAGCTCTCCATCATAGAAGGTCTGTGAATCTCCATAGTAGGCACGTGCTTAAGCAGCTCTAGAGCTACTCCCATCCATATTTCAGCCTTGTCGTATTTCAGCAACTTAAGATAAAGGGCTGCTCTATTCCAGGCAGTAGATACCAACCACTGAGCTTCGTCTTGTGGGTACAAATTGTTACCCAATCCTAAAAGGATTTGTTGTGCTTGTTTGTAGAGGTCCAGTACCTGCCTCAAGTACATACGACATGGCTCATGAGAGGCAGTTGCAAAAAATGAGCAACGCAATTTAAAGGAAGGCGTGCAGTCTAGTTAATGCTGCATGCTTGGAAACCTGGTGAGATTGGGCTAACCTCTGGGCCATCTTTGCAGCGAGCATTTGCGAGGTTGATCATCTTTCTCACTAACGCAGCAACAATTTTGTAATCTGCATTAGGAGCGCTAAGTGTTAAGGTCAGGCACATGCGAAATGCGGCCGACGCAACCTCCATACTAGGTTCTTTTCTCCTTGAAGCCTCAAGGCCCATTTTGAAAAAATGTTCAGCTGTGAACCCTGGCATGTTGCTGCATTGTTTTAAAATTTTCAGTTGTTCTGCATCTTCTTTTGCCCTTCCTTTGAGTTCGAATTGTAGTAGATGCAGGTATATACCAAAGCTTCCGTCGGTTTTGCTCCCAGAGTCGTCGATGGCCACAAGTTTCTTGTGCACCTGCAGCAGTGGACGTGGAATGACACTGATGTCACGAATCCATATTCTTTCAGTAAAGGAGTAGCTTTCGATGCGTGATAAAACATACCTCCTGACATTTATCCAAGTAGGTTGTTGCAATGTGTATAACTTCGGTCTCGTTCACGTCATCCGTTGTTAACAGAGCCGATACGCAGAGAAGCAAAGCTGTTTGGACGGACCGGAGACTACCGGGGGTCGGGGGTAGTACACAGTAAAAGTTTGAGGATATTGCGTAAAATTCGAAACAAGACTTCCAATCCTGTTCTTTTCCACATTCCATAGCCTGATTCCAAGATGCTCCTGAATACCATTTTGCTTCTCGTTCCCCGCTGCTCCCAGTACCAAAGAACTTTTCATATCCTAGTTCTTGCAGCCGTTTATTGGCGTACTTGAAGTGCCATAGTATGTCAGAGCGCTTGGTTTTTCCCTGGATCAGAAGCAGGATTAGGTTTCTGAGCACAACAACCTCTTCCGTGACCATGACCCTGTCCGAAGAGTATAAGCTCAGCATGTTGCTTAGTGCAGCAACTGCAACTGTGATTGTTTTGCAAGCTATGGCCTCGTGGCAAGCAAGATTCAAGAACTCGGGTTCAAAGTCGGTGCATTTCAGCATCCTCTCCACTTCCTTGCAAGCCTCTGCTTCATTTCTCGTTTGCAATCCTATTTTTAACTGCAATTACATAAGATACTGTGTGATAAATGAACTTCTTAAGTCGTTTGGATTGGGTCAGACAGCAGAATCATCAAATTACATTATTTTGTGAGCAACTTTTCCCGATCAGTTTCGAAATTTAGGGTTTGATCACCTTGAGAAATATGCTGGCAATACTTGGATCGATCTGTGAGTGAAGCTCATCGAAAGTAAGAAAGTCAGTAAAAAGCGATAGATACATTCGGGGGCATATTATTACTGTGTCGGGCTACAACCATGAAGAAGTAGCTGTACTGGTAATGCCTCTTAAACTTCTTCAAACCTTCAGGTGGTATTGACACTGATGAAAATGTCAAGGTTGAAAATTACCTAGGATACTTCGAAATTATTTGTTGCATGTAGGCTGTGTTTTTAACACTGGATTGCATACCTTCTCTGCCTTATCAATAACCTCTGCAGCTCGTTCGAATTGAGATAGAGCCATGTGGCAAAGACAGAGAACGCGGAGTGACTTGGCCTCGAGCATTGAACCTTCGCCGTCGCGGACAATATACAGCATGGAAGCCTCAAAAAGTCGAATGCTTGTTTTGTACATCTTTGCTTTAAAATGTTCTGAGCCACTGCCAGACCGTCTGTGAGTGGGACGTCGTCTAATCGAGCCAGAGATCACAACGAGCATATGTTCTTGGCGAGGTAGGTACCTAGCCCTATTAGACGCAACTGGTTGTTCCAAGCATTTCACCCCACACATCACGGAAATTGAACACACTTGCTGAAACATTTCAACTGTCCTATATTTTAGCACTCACCTTCTGAGATATTGGATCCTACACCACATGGGAGAAAAATGAGAAGTTTAATCTAGCACAGTGATGGATCTTACCTGGTCCACAGAAGCGCGTGAATGAATTGTTGCTGCTTTTGTGCGATTTGCCTTCGTCTATCTTTCAATTCTAGACCTTCAATTTCTGCCACGACAGCCGTCAGAATCTTCTGTTCACAGGCGATTTTCAAAGCCAGTTCCACTCGCTTAATGCAACTCGTGTCTGCAGCTGGATCCTGCCTCAGAAGTTTCTCAAGTACTTTTGCTGGGAGCTGCCCTCTGTTTGGACCAAAGTGCTCCAAGAGAATGAAAAATGCCTTCTCAACAGCTTCAAATTTATCACACTCTTCAATGACTATGTCGAGTGCTGAGACACAGACATCAACCCGGTCCCTGGCATGACCAACGAGCGTGAAGAGCTCACGCTCAACCTCATCTTGTCTTCCTAATTTTGCTAAAGCTCTAATTGCGAAATACGATGTACTCGAATGATCCGATGTTTGCCTCAGAGCATCAACACATCGCAGTGCACTCTCATAGTTCTCGTTCTGCAACTGGCCAGCTGCCAGGTTACGCAGGATTCGTTGTTTCAGCCTCTCCAAGTTTGTCTTATCAGCATCATGGTATTCATGGCAGTCCGAAAGAGCCTCCGAGCATATGTCTAAACCGGCCTCCATGTACCGAATGGACTCGGACTGTGAATCGGTGTCATCCTTCAGCAGAAGAGACTTCCCGAACTGTAAATATTGCTCAGCCAATTCTGCATGGCGGTTGACAGGAATCGTGGGAAGTAAACCTCGGGCTCTTCCCAGCAGACTACAAGCAAGTGTGTGTCCACCAAGCTCCCAAACGGTCTTTGCTCGTGATAAAAACAATTCAAAGAAGAAATTAATCTGTTCTCTCGTGTCAGAAGATTGGGACGAGTTTCTCTCCTCTTGCTTGAAGCATAGCTCAAAAGCCTTCTCAAAACACACCGATGCTCTTAAGAACTTCCTAATTCTGTGCCATGCACATCCAGTCTTGGAAAAGAACATTGCAATCCTCACGAAACTGGAGTGAGCGTTTCCTACGGCACCTGCAGTAGCTAACAGGTCACATGCAACCTGACGAAGTTCTGCTAGGTCTTCGCTAAGTTCCTGATCACCCTCAAGATTGTTCACTATGTCGACGCTACAATTCCACAAACGGTAACTCAGTCGCCAAGCCAGGATCCTCTGTTCCTCCGAAAATTCAGCTGAAAGATTCTCGAGACATTTCCGTAGCTTTTGCACATTCTCAGAGCTTAACGATGATGGAGACGCTGCTTCGATGTCATGCATAACTTCTTCAGCTGTGTGGAGTATCTCATCTGTAGGAGTTTCAACATCCTGGCTCGGTAACTCGTGAATCTTCATTGTAATGAGACAAATTATTGGACCTAGATGCGGTTACACTCCTGTCAGAAAACCGAAGGCAAGGTGCAATTAAGTCCACCGTGGAAATGTTGAGAGGATTGGAAACGATGGAATGGCCAGTTGGAAGAGAGAATCTGCTAGAGAACACATCAATTCTGTCTCTGTGTGTAGGCCAGTTTACCAAAACCCGAAGTCAAGATTAGACGATGGTTCATGCTAAATGCAGATCAAGAGGCTTCTGAGAACCATAGCGAAAAGCAGCAGCATCGAACACCATCAACGGAGCGAGAAAGGAGGCTGTCAAGCTTTCCCCTATGCGAAGTTAAAACTGAAGGGCGAACCTGATGTCTCCCTGGCATGCGTCATTCCGGTTGCCCTCTCCGCCATTCTGAAGCCAACCCGAGAACAGTTCCAATAGTGGATGAACATCCGACTTGTGAAAATGGATGGATGAACAAATGAAATTGGGGCGAGGTGGGGAGGTGTCAACGGCGACGAGGACAGACCCCTCCCCCCCCAAATTTCCCCCAACGCGTTTCGACTTGCCATCAAATGAAATTGGCAGCTCAAATGAAGGATGCCACATTTCCTGGAGCTAGTCAGTAGGAGCCGGTGCTGTAATCTGGGAACAAGTGATCGAGTGGAGCCTCGATGATCCGACTAGAATCACAATGTTTGTCGCCGATCCTGGTAGTTATTTTGGTTTGCGTGGAGCTATTTTGCTGCAGAGGTCTTGAGTAGCTCTTGATCGACGCTCTTCGTGTTTTTTGTTTTTTTGTGTTTTTTGGAAATCGTTTCTGTAGCATATCCATAGTGCGTGGAGGGTCCGAGGAGCATTGATGGAAATAGTTTACAAGTCAATGGTACGAGGAGAGCTCCCATGTTTAGCAATTTTTTTTGTGAAATCCCCAGGGTAAGTGATCGAAAAAGGTGGACACGAATGGGTAGATTATGCACAGGGGAGTAATGGGCTGACTGGCTGTGGCACATTACAAAACATACCGATATGTAGTTTCTAGATTTCAAAGAAATCTTAATTGTGCGTAACTAGTCACCATTATTCGTCTCTTCGTGTCCTTGCAGTCTTCAACACCGTGAACAGCCATGAAAATTTTAGGTTTAAGAGGCGTTGAGGGTTAATGATAGCAGTTGTACATGGTTGGATGTGAAGTCGGTTCATTCAATTTCAGTCGAAACGTTGAGGTCTTGATGTTAGTTGAAGCACAGGACATATCATTGCATCGTAATCCCATCAAGATGGAGGCAACTCTGCATGCTGTTTTGCTTCGGCAAGAGCAAATGGCAATGCTATAGGGTTCAGAGTTCGAGCAGCACGAGCAACTCTTTCATATCAATATGTCGTCTCTGATTGACGTGCCACTTATGCAACCACAGAAAGAAGCACTTCAGGGTAGAAGATCCTCGTCTGCCGCCTGAGACAGCTTCAATGTTTGATTAGCAGAATTTGCTTGGATTTCAGAGGCTTCATTGCAACATTCATTCTTTGGAGGCCCCAATGATGAAGTCTCTATACCTTACGTGACTTGCCAAACGAGATCAGAACACAAAGTTCTGTTTAAATTTGTCTAAACCGTGGGTTGTATGGGCTCTAAACCAAGTGTGCCATCCATCTATCGATCGCCACTTCCAAAATGTTAGGACGCTAAACATCTGCAGCTGAACGCAAGAACTGTAGAGGGCGTCAAGTGCACCACTCCAGTAAAAAAATTTCCGTTGTTTAAGATTGAAGGAGGAGGTGATGTTCGAGATACTTATGCCCTACCCCGAACCTCTGAAGTCGAAAGCAAGATGAGATCACTAGGCAGGGAAATTAAAAATCCTGCTCTGTGGAGCACGTCTGCAGAGATTCAGAATGCTCGCGAGGAAGCCAGAAATTGAGCAGATCATATTGCAATGTTGGTTGTTTCCGAAAACAAAATTAATCGTAAAAGTGCGCGAATGGGTGGAAAAGTTGAAGAAGATGCGGTTGAAGTGAAAGAAGAGATGGAAAGTACTGGTGAGGATGCATGTGATGTGGAAGCTGAGATTGAGCCTGAGATTATTAGCAAGGGGCCTCATCGGAAGTTATGTGCTTGAGGTAATTCCACTGCCTCTCCAGCAGCTGCGAAGGCGGCTGAGTCTGACGACTTGACCAAAGCGCCTATTCGAAGAGAGAGGGCGAAACAAGAATCCGCAGCCATTGGAACAGCTATGCCTCAAGCTGTGCAACGACTTGCCCAATCCCAGATCCGCAAGATTGAAAGTGCGGTGGAACACGAATCTGGCACATATGAGCAATCTCCGTTTTCCGAGGTGCCTAGCTAGTCATTAGACTTTCACTAGGGCGATGTCGCAGCTCTGGTACTTCCCCACACACAAGTGGAATCTTCTATGGGAGGTAACAAATTTTCAGCTCAAGCGAGGCTATCCTGTGTCGTCTTTTATGGCTGTAGCTCAGGACAGATTGCCAACACAGAACCTAAGGGTGCAGATAATGGCATCTAGTAAGTCAACGTGAGCGTGCCGTCGGATGTAGATTTAGTGAATGAACAAGTTTTTCTTTTATTAAACTCTCATTCCCAAGTCCTAGAATCTGAACTATGATTCATACAGAAAAATTCGTAGAGCGATTTAGGTGTTAATGAAAAAAATCAGTCCTAAGAAGTCATCACCGCATTGGGCTTCACAAGAATTGTCTGATTTTCCACATTCAGAACCTGAAGACCAAAGTGTCAGTACTGACTCTCGCGTTGAAGAAATTCTGGTGAATGACGTGAACATCATTGATGATTACTAGGTGTATGATCAGCACAAAAGCAAGTCGCATCTCTAATTATAAAGGATTCTAGGGGATAAAGGACATCCACAAGCTGACCTTGCTTGCACAGAGTACCCTTCCGCTCGCAAGCAGGAGCAAGGGAACAGAAAACAATTATTTACATTACCGGAAAATTATTAAAGAGGTTAACGGCTTTCGAAGGGTACACATGAGGTGATGAGGTCTTTGAAGAGCTGATGTCAGGAGGTTCACCAGTGCGTTTGAAGGTGATAGCTGATGACAGGCATGAAAGCAACAATGAATTCCGGCGTCTTGCAGCTCAACGCCTTTTCTGTGGTCAATCAGTTGAGCTGGCTCACGGTGGAGACCCCACTCTAGGAGAGCACAATGTGTTTGAAGAATGCAGTGTGAAGGCAAACATATTGTTTGCAGAGGGGTCTTGGCGGAGGAAGAGAGAAAATGTACAGGACGATGTTGCTTGTGCCGGACGAGAAGGGTCGCGTTTGAAGATACCAAATGATCTCAAACGATATTAGGGCGAAGCGTGTACGTTGGATATGGGTCGAAATCAAGATGAGTCTGATGCATGTACTCTGAAGCCAGAGCGATCGATGAGGCAATTGGTACATATTAGTTCTCCGTCATAATTGTCAAATGAAGGCACCGCACCTCGTAGTGTTGTGATTGCAGTAGACAATTAACTGGAGGTCTGATGGTTAAGGTGGATTCAGAAGAGCTCGTGATGGATGAATCTTAATATGTTCGAGTCTGAATTTGATAGCTGTGGCGGAGGATTCATCTTAGATGAAGTCTTGTGTTCAATCTCCATCAATATGGAAGACTATCGTGCGCATCATTAGACCTGTTGTGCATGAAGTGGTTACAGCTGGTATGGAGGGAAATTCGAGAATTCTATCTTCTCCATATTTCATTGCGACACAATTTAGACTACACAACTCTCATCAACATCTGGAGTCTTCAAAAATTCATCTGCGTCACGGAAGGAGAATTGTGCAATTGATGAAAGTGGAAATCAACTGTTTCCAGGCGGAAAACAGTGCAGCTTAGAACTCACAAGCAACCTCTCCGTTCTTTCATCAATCTGTATATGTGTGTGTGTATACATATCAATATATATATATATATATATATATATATGTGTGTGTGTGTGTGCAGTTTTCAGTCTTCGTCACAACTGATATGGAATGGGTGCTCTTGTTGATACAAGGACGTTATTTCATGATATTGGGCAGCTAATGACGGAAGCTTCGATCGTCAGAGCATGGAATGCCCTTTCACCAGTGGATTCTTGGAGACTATTCTTGAAACAATCAAGGTAACGCTTGCGTACATAAAATATCAAGTTTTTCAAATCCTTCATGTAGGTTTTTAGGTTTTGTATGCTGTTTAAAGTGTTTGGATAATTTTGTGGTGAATGGTTTAATTTTTTTTTTTTTTTTTTTTTTTTTTTTTAAAAAAAAAATCTGAAAGGCTTTGAAAGAACGACCAATAAATCTGTTTTTACTCAAGTGTTGCAGATATAAATCAGAAATTTTTTAGTCTCAAACTTTTAGGATGTTAAGTATGAAGCTAACATTTTAAAATTTTCATGACACTGATTAACATGCTTAGCAAAAACATAAGAAAAAAGTAATTTTGAGAAAACCAAGGTTTCAATGTATGTATACATATATATAAATATATTTATATATATACAATTGTGTCGGTTCATCACATCAGATATACAGATTAAAATTTCAAATGCAATCTTGGATTATCAATGAATAGATTGAAGTGGTGCTTGCTTTAGTTGTTTGTCTTAGCATGGAAATACTAATAATAGAAATAATAATAATAAACTAAAATTTTAAAAATGAAAATCATAGTAGAAAGTCAGAAGCCAAGGTTTAAATTGTTAACAAAAGTGGTGTGTAACATCTAAAACATGAGTGGGAAACAATGAGTTTATAGTTCACTTCTTACTTGGTCTATTTTGTGAAAAGGCTGTGGTTCCTAAAAATGATGCAATCATTGAAGTAATCATTGAAATCCTTACAGTTTTACCCAATTTTTTAATAAAGCTTATTTATTTAAATACATGTCGAAGTGAAGGAAATTAAGGGTTATATAATATGTTTATATATAGATAACTAGATAAATAAATAAATAAATAAATAAATAAATAAGATGATATTAAGAATTACTTGGAGCTGAATTATTTGCATCAATCACGCAAGATTTTCTTACATGTATAATTATTTTGAAATAAAAATTAACTTGATTCCCAATAAAAAATTTTAGAAATACATTAATTCTATTAAAATCAGGATACTCATTGAACATTGCAAAACGGAGTTATCTATAAATAGCTTATCTAGTGCACCTTTTAAACTTTTGTGATGACCATGAAGACTTCCAAAATTAATATAATGTCCATAAACATGAAGGTTTTATCATAAGAAATATTATAAAAATATACATAAACTAGATTTTCAGCCACATTTGTAACAAAAAATAGGTTAAAAACTTTGAGTAGGCAATAAATAACAAAAAATAAAATAAATTGTGGTAGTTTACTCAGATTGAATGAGGATGAAGGAAAGTTAATCTTCCAAAAACAAAGATAATGGGTTTGCACATCTACCAACTGGCATTC